ATTAATAGAATTTCAAACATAAATAGAATGTAACAAGTTTGTATAAAGCTTGAGTTGTGAAATATGTCCTAACAAGCAAGGAATGAAGAAACTGGTATCAACCATTAATATAATGTAACTAGATAACTTAAAATATGATCGTTATACTGAAAAACATTCACAAGACCTTAATCCTTTGACTGTAAGTAAACGTATCATGTATCTAAGGGTTTTTAAAAGATCTTCATACAAAAAGTGTGGATTTGAAAAATTAAAATGAGACGCATAATAAAAAAGGTGACTTGAAAAATATTGCTAGTTGACAAGAAATGGGAAAAAAAAAAAACAGGTCATGCATGCAAATGACGCATTTTATTACTTAATTATGAATAATCTTGCCTTTTGTATTTAGACATGGATTTCGTCATAAAGTAGCTTGTTCACTATTCAAATCAACCGTTAAGAATAATAGGTTTTTTGGTTCAATATTGATTTCATTATTCACGGAGATTAGTTTGGTATCGGAAAGTTATGTTGCTATGACAAGAAGTCGTGTTGTGGACCAATAAAGGGCCTATGTTGGCGGTACTTTGAACCTAAGGGTTGTTGACCATTAATGACGTGATAGTCGGTTGGGGAGGGGGGGTTAAGATGACTATTTAACGTTGATAAAGATCAATGAACGAGGCAAGATGTCATGGTTGAGTGGTGCAGAACGTTCAAGGGTACATGTTTATCTAGATACAACTTCAGCGTGTTCACATGATGTGGATATGGGGGTGGTAAAATTGTATTGTTGTCCATCTTTGACCGTTGAGCATCAGGGAAAACCTTTGGAGGCATGTCTGTATTTTGAAAACTAAGATTATTAATTGCTCACTTATGAATATTGTTCTTAAAACAAACATCGTTGTTAATGGATCTTCAAATAAGTGAGCAATCTCTTCCAATTAATAAAAAAACATGCATACAATCGCAAAAAAAAAAAGATTAAACAAATGATAAAATGTCGTAAATTATATTCCCTACCACTAACGGATAAAACAAGAGGATCGTGTAAATCATTGTTAATTCGTATAACGTAATTAATAGAAAAAAGATATAACATGATTAATTCGTACAACAAGCCATTAAGCCGATAGAAATTTTTAAACAGAGTTAGAAAAAGAGACCCGACATTTTCAATGACCATTTCGTTTCGGGTAAACTAAAGGAAGGGAACTTGTAATTTACTCAAACATAAAAGTTGTATTCCAACTTTTTAATAATTTATACGAAATCTTTGGACATATCTAAGAGACATCAGAAAAATCAAAAGTTCGACGGGTCAAGTTGTTAATCCAATATAAAAATAGACCAACAACGACGACGTTAGTGGTGATATTGTTTATTTATCTTATCGTCCTTACTTTTTCGTAACTTATTTTAGATTCTTATCTTTTCTTTAAAAAAATAATTAATCACGTAAAAATGTTTAAAGTTTTATACCAATTATTTCGTCGATTATTTTCATAATTTATTTTTTAATTTGATAAGTTAAAATTAAGTCACAAATAAATAAAAATATATTGAGTTACCAAAACTCATTGAAAATATTTAAAGTTGATCATTTGTGGGTTTGGAACGGATACAGGTCGGATTCAACCTAATTTATTTGTCCAAAAAACCTAATATGGTAAATTTTGAAAACTTGTCCATACCCGCCCTATAAACGGGGATTGCCGACGGGCTAACGGGCTTAAAAATCTTATTATATTTTTATGAAAATAGAACTTATATAAAATCACAAGTTATGTAAAATAATACAAATTACATAATAGTTTTTCCTACTTAAAATTTTACGTAAATACATAACAATATACATACTTTAGAAAGAAAAATTGTTTCACTAAATATTAAGTATCAATAAAGAAATTGACTAAATGGGATAATAAGGAATTGATCAATTGAGTAATTATATTTTCAAATTTAAGATTTTTATAGAATGTTGTTATCATTAGTCATAATTAAGTGGAAATTGATAAGTATTAAGAATTTTTAATTTTAATTATAAAAGTAAATTATTATAAAAATATTAATGGGTTTGACGGACCTACCCAAATAATTTTTTCCATTGCTCATGTCTACACAACAAGTCAGTCCATGTACATCAATTTTCTTCGATAATGGTAACGCAAAATCATTTTTCTAACATGCCGAAAAGGACAGGTCTAACGAGTCATCCTACGTGTGAACAAGTCTAAAAGTATTGTTATTAAAAAAGAGTATCACAAAATAAAATGGAATTTTTGGAGATAAAAAGGGCATCAGAATTAAAGTAATTAAAAAATATAATTAATTAATTAATTGTGTTGGAAACACTTTCCTTTTCCTTTTCCATTTCCTTTTAGCAGCGGCGGCGTCATCCTGGGCAAGTTGCAAAAACTACCTGAGGTGGGGCCCTTGATGTTATCACCACGTGGTCCACGCGCTTTTCCTCCGTTTTGGTTGTACTGCAATTTCAACCGTTTCTTCGCCTCCCAAGTTGCCAACTTCTTTGTTGCACCATCTTCAACGGTATATTATACTTCTTTTTGACAGTAAACGACAAATATACATTGTGTGTTTTTATAAAATAACATTTAGTTTCAAAATTACAAGATGACTGTTAAAATGTTTTGTTAAATAAAAAGTATTTAATTTTTTTATCAATTTTTCTATTCGTTTTATCCAATCAAAACCAGAGGCCAAATCATAGAATGAAATTTATTGGTTAAAATAATTTTTTTTTTAAAAGATGAAAATGATATGACGATAGAGATATCAATAGATATAACAGAGTTAGATTACAAATGAAATATTTCATAGTTATCAACTTGTAACTTATCGCTATAAAAAATGCTTATGATTAATGAGAATTATATATTCTAGTGTTGTTATTTTTCAGTTATTCTATAACAACAATAGATTTTTTTAAAACGTTTTCTAAATTTTTGATGAATTATTTTATTCAAACAAATTTTCTAAATGTTTTCTGAAAATAAATAATTTAAGAAAGAAACCCAAAATTGCTAATCAAAGTTTATTGGAGAGAGAACAACGTATTTTTTAATAGTTTAAAGTTCAATATATTATTATTTTATATAGACTTTAACTTGAATAATATAATTACTACGTAAATATATTGCTAATAAAAATAATCTTGTAATAATATCTATACTATATTATAAAGTATTTGACAAAAAAAAAATAAAAATAACTTTTTATACATAAAGTATTGTTTATTAATGCATTTCACTTAAAACTCAAGATTACAAGTAGATTGTGTGCAAGTACAACTTATTAAAGCTCCATATTTGAATTCGTGTAACTAACTGTAGATAAATATAATCAAATACAAGATAAACATCTCATTTTAAATATAAAAAATCTAAAATATAATTAAGATAATCATTGATTTCTAACAGAATATTTAATTATTATCTTTATAAAATGTTATATTATTAAACAAAAAATAAATTATTTCATTATTAAACTTAAATTAAATTATAATAAAAAAATTACATAAAAAATAGAACTTTTAAATATTTGATTTGATATTAACATTGATATATATTTTTTTCAAATTTTTATGATATCTTCAAATTTATAGTTTATTCAAAAATAAAATCATTATTATTTTCTTATAAACACATAAAATCGTATTATAACATTGACAGAGACAAAAAATAAAATAAAATTATTAAAATCAAGATTTATATCACTACATTGTACGAATACTCTTCTATTAATATTCGAATTCGAATTCGAAAGAGAGAAAAAAAGTAGAGGGAGTCAAGATCAAAGCACGAAAAAAGCACGTGATACGGCAAGCGTTTGGGTAAGATAAAGAGCAACAGCTGGTCTCATACCCCAACTTGCAACTAGCAACTTGCAACTTGCAACTTACCCAGCCTGTCTCCTGATCATCCTCATCCACATATTTATTCCTTTTTTTTTTTTTTCTAAATCATATAATGTTTACCTCAAAACATTTTATTATATACTTTTTTAAAATCCTGTACTTAACAAAAAATAGGAATATAAAAAAATCCGCACTTAACAAAAAATCTCGATATACTGATACTAGAACCGGTTTTGATTGAAGAATCTTCGAATGGGATATTGTCGTCCCCGATCCTGACCTCGACTATTAATAATAAATCTTTTTTTAAATATAATCAATTTTGGATGATGATATTTATATTAATTGAAATAATATGGTTAAATATTATAAAATACATATTAAAATATAACAYATATAATATAAAAATATGTATTTATTAATAATTTATATTAATTAAAATATAATAAAAAAATGTAACAGAAAAAAATTAACGTATATATAAAATATTTATTTATTATTAATATTTATATTAATTGAAATAATATGATTAAATACATATTAAAATATAACATATATACGATAAAAAATATATATTTATTAATAATTTGTATTAATCAAAATATAATATAAATAAACAGAAAAAAGCAAAATAAAAATTTTATATTAAATTAAAATTTCTTTAAAAATAAATTAAAATTAAAATAACAATAAAACAAAACAAAACATAATAATAATAAAAAAACTATTAAAAACAATAATAATTAAATTAAATTTAGGAGTGCCAATGACGATTAATAGGATTGTCATTCCCCAAAAAAAAGAGTAGGCCGAAATCCCATGGGAAGTGGAAAATGAATATAACAAAGCCGTACAGAGAATCTCATTTATAGTTGGAATAAATAATAAAATAAAATAAAATGTTATTGAGTGGAAAATGATGACACGTCATCATCCACGACAGTCTAGAGTCTACACTCAGTTTCTCTATGAAACCCACTTTCTCCCTGCCTTCTTCTTTCCCTGCCCCCAGCTGTCTCCTTATCATCCTTCACTCCGTGTTCACTTTGCTTATCAGAACCATACATACACGCACACACACACACACACATACATATATATATATATATATATATATAATCATTCATTGCTCATTCATAAACCAACTCAAGTTTCATTCAGTGATCATAACTACCAATCAATGACTACTTTTATCCAATTCAATACCTTCTCCCCTCCCACTGAATCTTGTTCAACTTCCGACTGCAGCACCACCGGAAGTAATAGTTTTTTCGACGAGGAGATCAAACTGGCTTCAAGAAATCCCAAAAAAAGAGCTGGAAGGAAGAAATTCAAAGAAACACGCCACCCAGTTTACAGGGGTGTAAGGAGAAGGGATTCCGGCAAGTGGGTCTGTGAAGTGAGACAACCTAATAAGAAAACCAGTTTATGGCTAGGGACCTATCCAACGGCGGACATGGCTGCTAGAGCTCATGACGTCGCCGTTTTGGCTATGAAGGGCCGTTCAGCCTGTTTGAATTTTGCTGACTCATTGTGGCGGTTGCCGATCCCGGAATCTAGTTCTGTCAAGGATATTCAGAGAGCGGCGGTGGAGGGGGCTGAAGCTTTCCGGCCGGTGGAGTCTGATGTGGCGGAGGTGGAAGAAAGTAAAGAGTTGGCCGGAAATGTGTTTTATATGGATGAAGAAGCGATATTTGGGATGCCGGAATTTTTTGCCTACATGGCGGAGGGGTTGATGCTACCGCCGCCTATTACCGTTGGATACGACAACTGTGAAGATAACGTGGAATTTAGTATTGACGCGTCCTTGTGGACTTTCTAACTTCGAAATATAATTTTTGGTTCTACCTACGTATCCCTTAATACGAATAAAAATCAATTATCAAACAATTTTATTCATTTATATACCCTTTTATAATTTTACTTAACTGATTAAATTTAATTATGACATAATGAGTTTAAAGAGCTTATTCATACGGTCAAAATAGGATGTTACTTATAGTTTATTCGCACAGCCCGTGCATAGATGGATATGGTGTGTTGTTCTCGTTAAGCCAAAGAAAAAATACCAATACCCTTTATTTTTAATAACATGCCTCCTTCCCAAATTTTGTTCAAAACCCTAGCACCTTCATTGATCTCCTTTCCGATTTTCAAGTTCGATTCCAAGCATCTTGATCAATTTCTTGCACCATTGTCCGATTTTAAATTTCAAACTCCTAGCCGTTGTACACCCCTCCTTCATGGATTTTCTTATTTTAAAGTTCGATTCCAAGCATCTAGATTGATTTCCTTCATGTATCGATTCCAAGTTGTTGTTTTTTAGGATAATGTTCTCATGTATCGATTCCAAGACCTAGATCGATTTCCTTTGTCTTCTTTTTGTTTTTGGCTCTAAATTAAATTCCAAGTTGTTGTTTTTGTTTTTTAGGATATATTCATACAAGACTTAATAATTTTTTTAGTAAATAACCTCTTAATTAATTGTCAAAAGATATTTAAAATTTACGTGAAATCTTAGGTTGTCTTGTAATTTCAATAAACTTTTTAAAAAAATAGATCTTAATTCATTTACTTTCATTTCTTTTCTTATTCACTCACATTATGTGTAGTGTATATTCATTAATGATTATACACTAGTTAATTTTATGTTTTGTGTATTTATTAATGAATACACTCAAATACAATAATAAAGACACTGATGAATTCCGTATATTGTATATTCATTGTCAAATATACACATTAATATATTATTTTATATTTATAAAGGGATATGCTCATGTTACGTACATCGTGTTCATGTTTTACGACAAAAGTTACGTACCAATACATTGACGAATACAAACATGTTACAAACTTACGTCAAACATACCAAGTCTTTAAAAAAAAATCAAAATTACGTCAAAGTCTAGATCGGTTAAGCCAGATGCTCGTAACCAGACCCATATATTAAACAATAGGACCAAACCTTAAACGGTCAGGTCCTTTTGTCCATCTCTACGGTAGTTTTAACCCGTTCAATCAATCGTAAAAAGCTAAGAAGTCAAACTGCTAACATTTATATTATCAGAAGGAATGTTTTCACAGTCAAAATCCACAAACCACTCCCAATTAACCCAAACTCTTCATTATCATCCCACTTTCAACAAACAAAATCAGACCTCAAAGCAGTCGATAGATGTGTGCATGACACCCAACGGATAACCGACTCTGCTACCATCAGATCCAATGGTTCAAACTCTCCCAGTCCAATTGTACGGTTTCGCTTGTTATGAATTCCAGATATCCGTGAACCACCTCCTCTTTTCACCTCACTCGATCTCTGCTCTTTTTCTTCCCCCCTTCTCTCCTGCTCTAATAATACACAACCCTCTTCTTCAGTCTCTGGGCCTGGCCCAAAGAACCTAAAACTTGGCATCGAGTGGATTGGGGTGCAGAAATCTAGGGTCGTGTTTGATGACCCACCACTGCTACGGAAAGAAAACCCACATGAATTCAGCAAAGGTGTCGCTGGTTCCACAAAGAAGGAAGAAAAAGATGATTTGCAACTGAATGCTTCGCAGATCATCGGTGATCCCATCCCAAAACTGATGTCTTCATTCCTAGCCATGAACAAAGAAGAAGAAGAAGATGGACTTCCTGCTATCTCCAGCTCTCCACAGCTTACCAGTGATTTCGGGACCAGATTCGTGCCATTAGTCCATGTATGATCTAAAGACCAGGTGAAATGAAGCAATCATCAGATTCCAATAAAGAAGCAAGCAAAAAGGCGGATAATTTTATACAGGTTTCTGTTTTCAATTACCAAGAACTTCAAGGGCAGTGAACCTCACAGAAGGATCTGTTCGGAGCATTCCTCTGATCAATTCTTTGGCAGAGTCGGATATACTGTTCCAGGGATCTGACTGAAACCTTAAACCGGCAGCTCTAACAGCATCAAATATCCGTGATTTAGTCTTCCCCCAAAATGGTGGCTTCCCACTAAGAAGGATGTATAAAATCACTCCTGCACTCCAAACATCAGCTGCTTGGTTGTAACCACCAGCCAGCACCTCTGGAGCTATGTAAAATGGACTCCCAACGGTTCCGTGCAAATTTTGACCTGTATAGATCAACAAGATTAAGACCAACCTCCCCTCCTCAAGTAATGCCACAAATTCACCAAATTTGTTGATAAATTTCGTACATTTTTAACAAAGGATTATAACGGGTTGTGTGCCAGATGCCAAAATGAAGATTTTTCAAACATACGAACAATGGGTATTTGCTGTTTCTGTGAACTGTCATCAAATTCACAAGTGAATAACAGCAAAGACTTCATCCACTTTCATATACCCAATACTCCATCTATTCCACAATTACAAGTGCTTCTTTCAGAACTTGCAAATAATAAAGATTAAGAATATATTCATAAATCAGTAATAAACTTGAGCCGATTGTGTCATTTTACACTAAACGGAACTCTTTTGTTGGAAGAAATGAAATGATAGGTTGTGAGCAACTGGAACTGTTTTGTAATTTGCTCTAATGTACATGGATGACGATAAACATTTGGAGGTTCGGAAGATGAACACATGGCCAACAAAGACAAAAGGACAAAACTTGAAGAAGGTGTAGATTATGGCACCATGCACAATTTCCCCTACAAGTTAAACATGGCACGTTCAGTGTGGTATGGCCATGGCATGTCACTTTGTGATTGGAGCTAGTCGGCTTACATCATTAGAACAATTTCAGTTACTAGAATTTATCTATACATAAATAAGAAATGTCAAGAAGATAGTAGATGGCAGATAGTAAATCAGTGCAATACAACCACAACACTTGTCGTTTGTTTTCTTGTTCTTTTTCGGGTCTTTTTTGGCCTTATTCTTGGATCAAGAATCCGTTTCAAAGAGATCCTATTCTCCTCAGATATCACCCACAAAATACACAGAGTACACAACATGAAATTACATTATCCCAAGATCAATATATCATAAAAACAGATGAAAATTTAGGGTATACCTGGATTGATGTATGTTGCAAGACCAAAATCAGCCAATTTTATCTGGGAGGAGGATGCTTTTGTTGCTAATAGAATATTTTCTGGCTTTAAATCTCTATGAACAACACCCTTATCATGGCAAAAGCTCACTACTTGCATTAAATGCCTGAAGAGAACTCTAGCCTCAGATTCAGAAAACCTCCCCTGTTTCTCCAATCGATGAAAAAGCTCTCCACCAGCACACAGCTCCATAACCAGATGAACATACCCTTCTTCCTCGTAGACAGCCTTGAGATCAACAACGTTTGGATGCCCAGATAACCTAGTCATTATCTCGATCTCAAGCTTCACACTTCTTACATCTTCATCAGTCACTAGTCGATTCTTGGATATTGACTTGCAGGCCAATACCTCACCAGTCAACTTATCTGAGCATTCTCTGATTATACCAAATTGCCCCCATCCCAACTGATCTCCAAGAACATACCTATCTTTCAGATTTGAGGTCTGAGTAGTGTCTAGTATGGTTTCAGTCAAGCTCTCAACTTTATAGCAATTGCAGAGTTGGAAAGATGATTCGTTATATCTGTTGCAGTCACTCTTGGCATCAGCCATACGAAATCTCGGAGAAAACCCAGAAATCTGAATACCCCAACTGTGATTACAAAGATTCAAAATATTTGGCAGCCCCCAATTCTTGACTTTGAATCACCCTTTCCTTTTCACGGGGTTGTAAAGTCTGATTTATGGACTTTTTCTTGGAATCAAAATATCAAAGCCATGTAAATTAGGTCAAACTTTTGAAGTCTTCGGTGTTGGGAATTGGTAGCTAAAATTCAAGAAGCATGGTTCCTGTGAGACTTACAATGCGATTTTGGGTAGCTGTCATGAAAGATTTGACATAAATCAAACCTCTGAGCAACCCCAGTTGGAGCTCGGATCTGAAAAGAAAACATGGCAAGAATCGAACTTTTTTTCAAATTTCAAATTTCCAAAACCGAAAGCTCATAAACTCAGCAAGATGCATACTTCTTTCTTGAAAACAAACAATAAGCAAAACCTCATAAGGCTACTTAGCTTACAAATCTCATGCTTTACTACTTAAGAACTCAAACTGTGAATTGATTCAAATCGAGAACAAAAACACACTTAAAACCACTTAAAAACCCTAACCAAACAGAAAGACTAGAGAACCACATGAACAGTAGAAACTCAAAAACATTAGAAAACAAGAAACCAAGACAGACCAATCAAGATTCAATTTAAAAGACGACAACCCAGATCTAGAAATTAAATTCCATTGAAGAAAAAGTTTCAAAATTCATTAATTTCAGAAGAGAGAAAAGGGTTTAACCTGGAGAGAGAGAGATTGAAGTCTGAAGAACGTTGAAATGGATTTTGTTGTCAAAGAAATCTCCGCACGAGAGGGGGAGGCTATGGTGTGGGCTCTGATGGTCTCCTCCTCCTCCTCCTCCTTAGCTTTGCCCAATTTAACCCAAAATGAAAAGCCCCCACTTGTGTTTATGCTTTCGCTTATTTATGAGTTGATGTATTATTGTCTTTTATCGGTTTTTTTCCCTTCATTTTTCTATCTATTTTGCCCTTTTCTTTCCTCTTGTTCTTGATGTTAAATTCCTGCCTCCATTACAAGAATATGTGCGAATTTTAGTAAACAACGCATGGTGTTGGCTGGAAATGGAATAAACAACACTCCAAATTATTTTTTTGATATTTATTTTCAAATGAATTTTTTATCCATCTATTATTATAAAAATATTTAAAAAAAAATTATTTGGGTCGTCTCTTGCCATGTGCAAAAGCGTGTAAACATCTCATTTGTTGATTAATAATTATAGTGTTTCCAAGGGTCCCGCTAATTATTGGAACCAACTCGACTTATATTCTCATTACCTAAATTTGTGGTTGGTTTTTTGTATATAATGGTTAGTTTTCTTGTTGAGGGTCACGAATGCTTTGAATGAAACTTGAAATGGATAAACATTGAGAAAATGTCTCACGAATTGCATCCAACATTAAGAACCAGTCCACTAAGGCTCGTAAACATCCAACTGGTTTTTCGTAACTTACAGACTTACACATCGAACAACAGTGAACACGCCTTTGAGATCCATAATTTTTTTCAATATGTTAGGACGATAAATAAGAGTTCATGAGACTACTAGTTAAGTGTAATATCAATCAAGGCTTGATGGGTTATCTTTTAAGAGCTTGATAGAAAATATATTCGATCAATAATCGGTTTTTTATATGTTGTTTAAATAATTCATAAATTGATAATTTTATGTTTATTTGCTTTTATTCAAAAACCATCAAACAATTAAACATACATCATGATGACTCAAGTACCATGTGGAGTTCCACTAATTGTTATAAAATCTTATGTCATTATATCTAAATAAAAAAATGGTAATATTTTATAACATCTTTCATAAACATTCAATCATGTCATGTTTTATATGGTCTAAAATGATCTAAAATTTGAAAAAAAGTAAATTTCAGTTCAAAATCAGGCTTTGACCAGACCGATCTTTAGTAAACCACTTAACCAGGTTCCAGACCGGTCCCTAATTTGAAATCAAAGTCCAAATCGGGTTTTTGCCTATAACCGGGCCGCCTTTAAGTGGTCATTTTTAGGAGCGGTCAATGGTCCTTTTTGGTCCAAAATCGGTTAATCGGATTGATATTGGGGATTTCAAAGGTTGAATGCCTTATTATCCCTTTATACAGTGATCATGATAGAAACAAGCAGACTCATTAGTTATCCAGAAACATCCCTTTACAACCATATATCCTTATATATATTATCTAACATTAAACTTGCTCTTATTTGTGTTCTTATTCATTTACCTATTGGTCTGAAAGTTAAGGCCTCCTTCCTTCCTCCCTTCCTTTCAGTTCACAAATTGAACATAACCTTGATGGCATTACCACCACCAGCACTGGTCTCAAATGCTTCTTCCACCTCTTTCTGAGAGAAACCATATCTATGAGTTATCAGAGGCTTCACATCAATCTTACCACTTCTCAGAAACTCCAAACACAACGGCCATGTGTTCTTGTACCGAAAGATCCCCACCACATCAACCTCCCTGCCAGATTAACCATTCAGCCAACCTTCCAACAATGAAAAATATGCATATATATACAAATGGAAAAGTTAGACAGCTACCTGGCGGCAGCTGGGGTAAGCGGGACTGTCATCTCATGGTGGCCCATTCCCACAAGACAAACTTTGCCGCCAGCACGAGTGGCGGTCAGAGCAGTTGTCATGGTCTTGTTGAAACCTGCACAGTCAAAGCTCACATCCACTCCACCTCCCATGGCTTTATGTATCAGTTCCACTTCCCCAGCCACATCCTAAGTGTAAAGTTTAATCAAGAAACAGTTCTCAGCCAATTTGCAATCAAGCAATAAATCACCATCTTTAGTGAATATGTTTGGAAATCTATAACTACTGATAACCTGAATATTAGTTGTAACTTTGATGATCTCATCTGCACCAAGCTTCTTTGCTACTGATAACCGACTGTCTTCTACATCCACAATCACAATTCTTGGAGCTCCAAAAGCACGAGCAGCCAGCATTGTCACGAGTCCTATGGGCCCCGCCCCCATGACTAGCACATTTGTCTCGGGGCCAATATTAGCACGACGACAAGCATGCACTCCAACACTCAATGGTTCACACATTGCCCCTTCTTCCAAACTCACATTGTCAGGTAGTTTGAAACATAAATCTGCTGGATGCACCACCTGTTATGAAGAACAGTAATCACCTTTACTATTTACCTCCATTCTTGAACCATTCTTGATTTAAGGGGATTATAAAGAAAGTTTCTTCTAGCCAATCAACCCCAACTCGTCAAATAATAGTGTACCTGATTGGCAAGAGAGCCATGGACAGGGGGAGTAGCGAAAAATTTCATATCAGGGCAAAGATTGTATCGTCCTTCTTTGCATTGTGTGCATTTCCAGCAACTGATGCCGGGCTCAAGAGCTACACGATCACCAGGCACTAGATCTTTCACTTCACTCCCAACTTCTTCTATCACCCCAGCACATTCATGTCCGATAACCATTGGTTCTTTCACTACAAAATCTGCACATCTTAAGGTCTGCAAACATCTCCCCAATTAGTTTTTATTTTCCATTTCCCAATAAGTTAGTATGCAGCTATTGTAGCATCTGTTTTTTGAGAACAAAAAATATGTGATTATTTGACATTTACATCAGGTACTGATTTACCATGATACTTGGAGAACCAAAACCTGCAATTTGTATCAGGAACCGATTACATCAATTATTATTTCGGTTAATCCATCTACCAATATCATCTATCAAGCAAAAGGTCAAGAAAAGGGATCCATAATTCACAGAGAGAATTCTCTTGTTAAACAGGATATCCCAAAGGCTATAAAGGGAAAGAGAGAACCTGACTTAAACAAAGATACCTAAAACTGAAAGGGTGTGAGAGTGGCGTAATCAGATGAATTCCTAATTTCATAGAAAGGATAAAAGAGAGAGACCTTGAGATAGTGAACATCACTGCCGCAGATACCCACAGCTTTCATCCTGACTCTAGCATCATAGGGTCCTGAATCAATCGAATTGAATGAAGTTATTGATATGATATTGAATCTAGCATCATATGGACCTGAATCAATGAATTCAAATCTAAAAGAAATCGAATAAGAAGAGAGTGGATACCAAGAGTGGGAAGATTGAAGGGCTGGATCTTGAGGGTATTGACGGCGACGAGCCAAGCAGCCATATTTTGTTCTTGGCCATTTGATCCCTCGCTCTTTCCTCCTTTACCCATATCTATATCTCTCTCTCTATCTCTTCAGAAGTCTCGTATGAATATGATATCGCTGTTTGATCTTCTGGCCTTTGGATAAATGATTGTTTAATCAACCCTTTTGTACTGAATCAGTTACATCAAACCTTTTTTTTATTATTGTTATTATAGGAAGCGAACGAAGGTGCGAAGAGGAGAGTTAAAGGTGAGAACCACTAACAGGGTGTTCGGTTCGTTTTCTAAGTAGGAATGGCAACGGGCCGGGTATTGGTATCCCTGTCCTCGAAACCGATAGCTAAAACCGTTTCCGTAACCGTCCCGATCCCGTCGGGGATCTTATCGGGGATCCCCATCGGGTCCCCGCGGTTTCCCCGATCCCCGTTGGGGAACCCGTTAAGGGTAAAAATTCTCTTTTTCATCGTTGGTTATAACCGAACCCGAAACCCGAAACCGATATGAAAAAAATTACAATATGTTAATTTTCACAATTAAAAGTAAATTACAATTTTTTTAAAGATCTAAGTTTAAATGTCTCAAACATAATTGAACCAATTACAAACAATGTATTAGATTACAATATAAAACTAAACAAAAATTCGAACATCATACAACTAAAATCACGGTTTTTGACAAATAAACTAGACTTTTCGTGAGCTTTATTTGGGTTGTTGAGGTAAAGTGGATAATTTTTTTAAAAATTTTAATGTTATTTTTTTAAAGATATTATATATATATGTATGTATATAAATTAAAATAAATATATATATATACATATCGGGCCGGGCCGGTGATCACCGTCCCCGCCCCCGTCCCCGTTAAAATCCCCGAATTCGTCCCCGATCCCCGTCCCGTCCCCGAACCCGGCCCGAAAGTTTCGGTTTTCGGTTTTCACCATCGGTTTCGGTTTTTTTTGCCATCCCTATTTCTAAGGGGTTGTTTATCACCAAAAAAAAAAAAAAAATTATGAAGTCTTGTATGTATAAATTTGTCTGTTTGGATAAATGAGTGTTGTTTATATTTTTTATCTGAACCAACGGTCTGAATAACATAAATGACCGATTTACCCCTCCAATATTAACTATTTGAACATCAAAACAAAAAATCATAAAGAGGCCGAAGATGGGGTGTCTCATATGGGAAGGAGGTGGTGTTTTATATAAGGGATAAGGTGTCATTTTTATAACTGAGTGGGATAACATACTATTTTGATCTGTACGATTAAGCCATGTTCTGTACGAATACGCCGTAAGTAAACAACCCAAATGAGCTGTGCGAATAAGCCAGATAAACCAATAAGCCTAATTAAGCCGCAAGTAAACAGCCCCTAAGACTTTGTATGGATAAAGATGTTTGTATTGACAAAATTATCTATATAATAACAGATAAGTTGTTGTTCGGTTGTCGTGCTGAATAAACCGTCTGAATGTCATAAATGATCATTTTACCTCCATTTTATATCTTTGTAGTGTTTGATAAAAATAATAGTAAATGAATTTTAATTATAAAAATTATAAAATTATTGATGTTAGCCTTGAAGAAAACAAAATTCTTGAAACCTAATGGAAGACAACTGGTCGTGGTCTCTACACTGACAAAATTCTTGAAACCTAATGTTGTTGGTGGCAAAGGGGATGCTACATGACTCAGAGGTGGTTGCGATGGTGAAAGGGGAACAATGATAGCAAGGGAGATGGTTGGTTTCTTCAAAGGTGGTGGAAACAGAACCGACACAGTGGAGGAACCGGTGTCCGATGAGGATGCACAGAGAAGAGAGAGCTATGCACGGTGGAGGAACCAGCACGGTTTTGATTTCACCATTACCGTCGTGGGAGAGAGAGCGAGGTTGAAGATAAAGAAGTTCCACACAAGGGAAAAAGGGAGAGAGAGTGAGGTTGAAGATGTCGTGGGAGAGAGAGCGATTTCACCATCATCGTCGTTTAAATTTGACCATCTAGAATTCTAGATAGGTATGGTTCAATTTTGGGGGAAAAAAGGGAAAGGGTAAAAGAGGAATAAATGGCTGAGTACAAAGGACATCACTTTTCTAGCTGAGTGATTCAGTCTATGGTTGGCCGAATAAGCTCATACCAAACAGCTGGATATGACTGTGCGAATAAGTCATATATTTTATATAGCTCATTAAGCTCCTACTGAACAACTCCTAAAAGATATAGACCGTTGATCGTTTTAATCTTAAATTTATCCATAAATTGATCCGATCCATCTTGATGTATCGTATTCTAATATACATACAAAAATGAATATTCTTTTTATACTTGGTACCTTCTCTCTCCCTTTCAACCTTATTATAATATTACATTATATTTATTACAAAAAGTTCTAATAGAAACTTACTTTCTTTGAGTTCTTATATAAGAACCTTGGTTATTTTCTTACCTTGAACTTAGTGTGAAGTGACAATTTGTTAGTTCGTTTATATATTTTTCTTGACGTTGATATTCAATATAGTAATTAATTTGTATAATAATAGATAATTTTATTATAAGATCATTATAATAATAGATAATTGCATGACACATCAAGATAATTTTATTATAATAATAGATAATTTTATTATATGATCATTATAATAATTCGCAATACCCAAAAATATGAATTCTGAAATTGGGGTGGCAAAGAAAAGCCGAAGATGAGACGTGATAAACCGTAATATCTGCAAGTGGTGTATGTTTCTATCCATTCCATCCACGCACGCATCCTGTAAAATAAATGCAATTGGAATATTTATTAAATAAATATATATTGAATATAGCATTTTTAAATGGAAAAAGTCTATAAAAATATTAAGTTCTTGGATAATTTTTTGGAACAAATAAATTTTTGGACATTTCAAAACATGTTAAATAACTCATTGGACTTTCTAAAACATGTTAGATGCATTCTTATGACCTATAAATAAAAAAAAAATTAAAAAAAAAAACCAATGGACTTTTATATTTTGAACGATTAAGTACTTAAACATTTTTTGAACCAAAAGAATACTTAGATCTATAAAAATAAATAAATATACCAAAAAAATTACTTACATTTACGAAAAAGTACTTACATTTAAAAAAATATTGATAAAATTTATTTTAATTAAAAATAAAATATATTCTCTCAGTAATTTTTCAAA